CGAAGTCGATTGGGTGATAGGTCATTACTGAATTTGTCAGTTTCTCGCGAGCTGTAACAATCGAAATTCTCCAGCGAACAAAGCGCGGTCTACATGGTCTGCAGTCTGCATCTTAGCATGACCGTGGATGCATGGATGCGCGTGAAAGCCGTCTATACGATTTTAATGGATTCTGGATTCATTCTTTAGCGGGATTCTGGATTCCAATGCCCAGTATTCCGGATTCCACGACCAAGAATTTCCTGGATTCCGGAATCCGGATTACCTTACATTGGGCGAAAGCCTCAGACATTACAACGGCCACCCTTCGAATGAAAAACTAAGGACTTGCTCTAATATCCTTTCCGATGCGTTGTGTGGAAGGCCATTCAGTCACAGCTACCGAGTTTTTCGGCGTTGTCATCCCAAGCAATCTTCATGTTCTTGTGAATTTGGCTGTCTTTAATTCACCAAACTCACGTCTTGGGCAGTTTGTTTTCTAATCGTCTTATGAGGAAACTCGCGTGTTTTTATGAGCTTCAATTCGGCCGAATTTTACTGAACGTTTCACTTCCAGATTCTACATTAGAGACTAAAAAACTTCCAGCAAGTGTTAAATTCGACCTGCCGAACAGATTGTGAACTTTAATGTTTTGACATTTTTGACAGCGTTACTTTTGTTCAACCAATCAAATTATTTGAACCATTTAAAAAGGATTCTGACTGACTTATTGTAGCGGTTCTTTATGAGAGTATAGAGCATGCTGACGACTCTGTTGCTCTTTTGGAAATTAAGTTTGTTTTGAAAATTGAAAGTAACACGTGGGAGGGGGGGTTAATTAACGGATTCTTTACTTTAAAACAAATAGAGAAGCCTTGAATGTGCTCTGTTTTGTTGTAAAGTACGCGGGAAGCGTTCCTCCCTAAACTTCTTTTGACTACGTCTCGTGTTTCTCCCTACACTTCTTTGGTGCTCAAGCCGCTTCCTATGTGCTTTACAACAGAATAGAGCACAGTCAAGGTTCTCCATTTGTTAAATAGAGCAGAGATAGTAGGACTGAGAAGTAGATTAAGCGGAGTCTCGGGTATCGTGAACTTCTCGACCTTAATCTCACGCTTGGGGTGTATTTGACGTGGCTGTGTAATGATATAATTTCCCTGGGCAACACCACGAAATGCGACATATCACAACCCTTATTATCTTCTTCCACCCTAGGGAGGAAGGAATCTGGGTATCAATCTGTCTGTTCAGTTGCTCTCTCGTTTTTGGTTTTAATTTCAAATCGCGTACATTTTTTAACCTAAACATTGATTCGTTTTCTCGCACCGTTTAAAATGATACGAGGTGACGGCACTCACCAGCGGGTGTGGAGGTTAGGGTTATCATTTTCGGCCGCCAAAGTGCGATATAAACCTGTTAACAGGCTCTACACAGGCAGTTATCGAGAGGTTAATGTACGACATTCCCTGTCTAAACATTACACGAAAAATGGTCAAGACTAGTTAGAATATGGAAGATTTTACTTCCTATTCTTCGTTCGAAAGCACTTGTGGTCCGGCTTAGTTTACTGACTGGAATATATATGGGACTCTGGAGGAGCAATTGGCCAGTACATTACATGTGTCGTTTTATTTTCATTTTGAAAATCTACGCTCGCGTAGTTCTGCAATAAATTTTACAAGAAAAATAGTTTATAATTTTTTTCATTACCTTTTCTGTTACGTAATAATTTGTCTCAATGACTTTCTTCAGCATAACGCGACAAGCTAAACCGTTTCGTTTGAGAGAATTTCATTGTCAGTCCTCAAAGCGTGGTAATGCTGTTGACATTTCTCAATCTGTCTTTTCCTACTCCAGTGCGTGAGAAGAACTTCCCTCTCTCTTGCACTGTTTCTTACTGCAGCAATAGCAGCAGCTCTAGCACTCAAATGGTAAACTTTATGCCAAAAATGTGATATTTATACAGGCAAGAGACTAGGTTCTCTTGACACAGATTATTAAGTAGATTCTAAGTCCCCGAACCTTTTTCTGGACACGTGTAAGACTTTAAGGTCATTTCTAACAGTTGAACAAACAATCGATTTGAATAAGCTGCTTAGAAGCTTGCACGTGCGCCAAGCGTCAATCTACCCCTTTAAAGATTCATGCGTGCTTCTCTAAAAATATCCCTGGCTTTCTTTCAACTATACATTACCATTGGTTAGCTTTTTCCAGCAAAGCATTAGTTACTGTCATAAGGAAGAGACACTTTATCAGATGGATATAGCTGGAAAGGTCTTTCTGGCGGACTGATTTATGTCACTTAAAGCTGAAGGAGCATAGCAGTCATGATAGCTATTGCAACCAGCCATGAAACGATGTTATTAGTCCAGTCACTTTAAGCGTCACACACTATTTCTTTAAAATAGAACAAAACCTCGAGATAAACAATTCGAGGGAAGAAAAACATTGACGATGTCAAATTAGGCAAGGTATTACAATTTCTTAAGCTTATTTAGAGCCGTTTCTTGTCACTCACGCTATTGATGATGCTGCCAAGCAGCGAGTTGTTTATGATCCCTTTTTTCCAGGTAAATGATTTAATGTGATTGATGGTATTAGAGGGGCATGTCGAGACTGATACGTACTTCTCTTCTGTTATAGAAACTTATTACCAATTGTAGGACTATTATCTTTACTTGCATTAAGTCCAGTTGAAGTTCCACGATTAACGACTGCTTGACCATTATTTGAAGTATCTGTGAAGCAAGAGATGGAAATAAATCGATCTTAGTTGTACCAAGACATCTGATTCATCCTCCTTTCTAAAGAGAAAAACAATACACACTTAATGTATGGTCCCGAGGGAAACAGTTAGTTTTACTTTCCTCAGAGTCCTGATGCTTCCGAGACGAGGTTGAGGGAAACATCAGGACTCGAGGGAAAACAAAACTAACTAGTTTCCCGAGGGAACATACATTAATTGGTTTGTTATGTATTTAGACTTTCCCTTAAACAATCATGAGGCAAAAACATGCTATTGTATTCGGCGCGCGGGCAACAACTGCGCTATTGTATCCCGATCGGGTACATTTGAATTTGATCAGTGACACGTGAACAAGAAACAACCAATCACAGTGCTCGTTTTGCTGAGAGAAAGTCAAGGTAAATAACAACATGCAAATATTCACTATTTTCCCAC